CTCAGAGACGACATTGGCAACTCCATGATATTCAGCTTCAGCACTGGATCGAGACAATGTGGGTTGACGTTTGGACGACCATGATAGTAAGTTCTCTCCAAGAAAAACACAATAACCAGAGGTAGAGCGTCTAGTGTCGGGACATCCTCCCCAATCCGCGTCAGTGTAAGAGATCAACGATGTAGTGGATGATGGATAGAGATGTAAGCCATAGTGACTGGTTCCCTGGATATAACGTAAAATGTAGCGAAGAGAGTGCATGTGATCGTCCATGGGGTCATGCATAAAAAGACATATTTGCTGTACCGCATATGTGATGTCGGGTCTCGTGAAAGTGAGGTATTGTAGAGCACCGGCAAGGCTACGGTATAATGATGGGTCTTCATAGGGAGTGTCAGTCTTTGCGCTAAGCTTCGGTTTAGTGTCAACCGGAGTTGGACATGATTTGCATGATGACATGCTTGCTCGCTCTAGAATTTCATCTGCATATTTTTTCTGAGATAAGAACAAGCCACCATTATGCCGAGTAACTGCAATACCCACAAAATAACTTAGTGGTCCCAGGTCTTTCATAGCAAATTCAGAGCTGAGTCGTGATATTATAGACTTGCGAAGATCATTAGAAGACGTAGTGAGAATGATGTCGTCCACATAAAGAAAAAGATAGGCCATGTGTGTATCTTTCCGGTAGATGAAAAGAGAGTTGTCTGACTTGCTTTGAGAGAATCCGATAGAACATACACATAATCTGCAAATCGTTTGTACCACGCTCTTGGAGCTTGCTTGAGCCCATACAAAGGTTTTCGCAAACGGCAGACATGATGAGGAAAATTTGGATCTTTAAAGCCCAAAGGTTGATGCATATACACTGTTTCCTTGAGTTCACCATGTAGAAAAGCATTCTTGACGTCTAACTGATGAATTTTCCATGCTTTAGATAAGGAAATACTGAGTACTGTTCGGATGGTGGCTGGTTTGACAACCGGACTAAAGGTCTCTCCACAATCTATGCCAACCTGTTGACCTGCACCGTTACCTACAAGTCGGGCTTTATGCCTCTCAAAAGAACCATCAGATTTTTCTTTATGTCTAAAAATCCACATAGAACGAATAACATTTGCATCAGGTGGACGGGGCACTAAATCTCACGTCTTATTTTGAATAAGAGCATTGTATTCATCATCCATAGCCATTTTCCAATTCGGATCGTTTAATGCTAACACAGGGTTACGATGGAGAGGGGATTTTGTGACTTCGGTGTGAAGATTAATGTATTTTTGGTTAGGTTTAAAAATGTCATGTTGGCTCCTCGTAACAGGTTTGTTGTCAGAACTAATGGTAGGTTGGTAAATAGCAGGAAATGGTATATTTGGTGGAGTAGAGGTGGAAGGAAAAGTTTGGTTCGGTTGAGAGGTAGGTTGGTCTGAGGTAGGTATTTCAGTTTGGTGTGTTTGGTTAGGTTGGGGTTGTGGCCGAAACACGGGGGAAGTTGGGGCCGGTCCTAGTTGAGTAGGTGGTGGATAGTTTTGTTGAGTGATGTTTGGTGTCCTTGGACCTGGGCTAGTTTCTGTGATAAGGTGATTTATGTAAGGTGACACTTCATTATCAAGAAATTGATAATCGTTTGGATTAAGAGTGTGCAGCTTTGAGAAAGGGAATTCGGATTCATTAAATATGACATGGCGACAAATAATGATTTTATTTAAGGATAGGTCATAGCATTTGTACCCACGATGATTTGAAGGATATCCTAAGAAGACACATGGGGTGGAACGAGATTGGAGTTTATTTATAGTGGTTGATGGAAAGAGAGGGTACCATAAACAACCGAAGACTCGTAGATGGGTGTAGGATGGATCTTTTTGAAAAAGAATTTTGAGAGGTGATTGATATTTCAACTTTTTATTTGGTAAAATATTTAGTAGATAAGTTGCTATTTGGAGAGCATGGTGCCAAAAATTTGGCGGTAAAGAAGCATGAACTAGTAAAATCCGAATTATATTATTAATGGAACGGATTTTTCGTTTAGCTTTGCCATTTTGAGAAGTATGAGGACACGAGAAACGAAATGAAATTCCATTTGCTTCACAGAGTTTTTGAAAGGGGTCATTGACATATTCTCTACCGTTATCACACTAAATATTTTTAACTTCCCGATGAAATTGAGTTTTAATATATGCTCTTAAATTTTCAAAAGTTGAAAACACTTGTGATTTGTGTGAAATCGGAAAAGTCCACAAGAAATTTGAATAGTCATCCAAATAGAGCACATAATATTTATGACCAGAAGTACTCAATACGGGAGATGTTCATACATCACTAATGTAATATATCAAATGGCATAAAAATGGAGTTATGTGAGTCAATAAAAGGAATTTTAACATGTTTACCAAGAGGACAAGAATGACAAAAAGTTGGATTTATTTTGGAATTAGAAGTACAATTAATCATTTTATTTTTTCTAAGAGAATCTAAAATAGATGCTCCCGGGTGACCCAGACGGTCGTGCCAAACAGAAGTGGATAAGGATGCGAATTCGGAAGGAAAAACGGTCTTATTTTTGGTTATGTTGGTGATAGGATATAGCTGGCCTTGACTCTCACATCTTGTTAGAACCATCCCCGTCTGAAAATCCTTCACAGAAAAACCAAACGGATCAAATTCAACAGAAACATGGTTATCGGTAGTGAATTTGCAAACGGAAATTAAATTTTTAATTAATTTTGGTGCATGAAGGACATTTGATAGAGCTAGTGGAGGATGAGGGGGAGGTAAGTTAGCATTTCCAAAACCATGAATCGGAACAGAATGGCCATTTCCTACGATAATACTATTATTTTTGCTCAAATTAAAATAAGATGAGAGATTACCATTTGTAGATGTCATGTGAGATGTTGCTCCAGTGTCCATATACCAGGATGGGTCAGATTGAGCACGATGTAGAGTGTGAAGAGCAGCTTCAATATCTGTTGGGCTTGGTTCAGTGGCAATAAAAGCAGCAGGTTGGGGTTTTGGTCCAAGAATACCAGATTGTTGATGTTTTGGGCCAGCATTGGGTTTAGCCCAATAAGATGGGTAAGGACATGGAGGAGGAGCCCAAGGGTAATGTTGCCATTGTTGTTGCCAAGGAAATTGTTGCTGCCATTGAGGATAGTGACCACGTCCACCACCGCTGTAGTTCTGAGATCCACCCGAGCCACCGCCGCCGTTGTGACTACGACCACCTCTACCAGAGTTCTTCCCCTTGTTATCGCGGTTACTGTTTCTACCCTGATTGTTGTTGTTGCAGCGATTGATGTTATTGTTGTTGTTGAGAGAGTGTCGCATGGGATTGGCAGGAGAGGCAGAGGAAGATGAGTTCGCATCTTCTGATTTCATGAGTAAGGCTGTCGGAGATGATTGGTTGCCAGATTCGCGTGCAACTCGTTGAATCATGGTAGATTCTTCTAATTCCAACCGGGATTTCGCCGTTTCAAACGTCGGCAAGGGATCGTGTTGCTGGATGTATGTAATGAATCCTGCATATGAATCTGTCAGTCCAGAAATCATCTTCAACACAAGACGAGTGTTGTTGACGGGAGAATCAACATTTGCGAGTTGATCTGCGAGGAGTTCCAGGCGATTGCAATATGCTTTTGTTGACGGGAAATCTTCCAAGTGCGTGTTGGCGAATTGATGTTCGAGGTGGACTGCTCTCGAATGCTTGTTGTCTTTAAACATAGCTGCAATTCGGTTCCAACAGCTTTCGGCAGTGTCCTTAAGCACCAGGATGGAGCTGAGAATATCCTGGGTAACGGTGGCATACATCCACTGCAGAACAACTGCGTCGAGACGGTTCCAGAGGTTGGGATCATTGCTCTTTGTTTGTGCAACTTCTTTTCGGGTTGCTTCATCAGTGGGAGGGATTATATGATCAAGTACGTTGTGGACTCGCGCTTGAACCTGAAACAGGGCAGACCAAGAAAGATAGAGACTTGAATCATTATCCAACGTGATTGAAATGATGGTTTTCACGTTGGTTATTGCAAAGGCAGAGTGAAATTTAGGAGGAGATGTTTCAATTCTGGTTTCATCATTTGAAGGCATGGTGAAAGAATGAAGGTTTGTTTGGAGCGGAAGAATAAGGATTCAAGCTGTGAAGTCTACAATTTAGTATGGATCAAACCTAGCTGATACCATATAGGAAAATATTTCCGTGTATATATACAGGAATTACAATTCCACAATTGGAAAACTAATCATGTCTAATTATGCCTAATTAATATAAATATTATTTTACTTTTATCTCATCAGTGTACAATATTTATTCCAACTAATTATGCCTAATTAATATAAATATTATTTTACTTTTATCTCATTAGTGTACAATATTTATTCCAACTATAAAATATATGCAGTCATGTTCTGTCAATCTGAGTTTTTATTAAGATAGTTTTTTTATACTGAACATTAATTCAGTTTGTAAAATCATAAACACCCTTAATCAAAATGGCCACATTATAATATTTTGTTAAGACGGTTCAGTTGATACCGGTATAAAAACATCGGGAGCAAGGATGCAATCCGCAGCATCCCATTTGTTCATTTTTAATAAGATGGACTCTAACCACTAGAGTACTTAATAAACAAAAATGACCACATTATACTGCTAATGAAAACACCGGATAATCAGAAAAAATACACTATTAAAACACATTAAAACTTAAAATGTTGTTTGGGAGCATGCAAATAGTATTAATAATAAAACATTTAAATGATCTGGTATAGTCATTTCTTGAAAGCATGGCTTGAAGCTTATGCTTTAATAACATCACCTCCTGGTGAGGATAATACTTACTACCTTGAAGCATATAATAACATTGGATATAAATGCATAATACTACAGTTGTTAGATAGCTTACAACAAAAGAAGGATAACATAGCTTACAACAAAAGGATTTGGTAACCTAATAAAGTACAGTCATAGATTATATCCCAAAACCAGTAACAAAAATAAGAGTTTACCTTCTCTGAAAATTATTATTGAACTGGGAATATTGTTGTTGTGGATCAACTGCAGGACAACTTTGCAGGCTCGAAGATGGGAATGAAGAGCTCACTGATGATTGCTGCCCTGGCGTGGACTTTACTCCTGTATCAAAGTGAAATGAGAAATCACTTTGTGAAAAACTGGAAGATCCAAAATCTGGCAACGCTGATACATCATCTCTTCCATTTTGACAGTTGGAAGGTTCCTGGATACCTCCTTGAACTCCTAAATTTTCCTCTACTGGAATCACCCCTGTAAGGGTCTTAAATGCAAATTCTAGGCATGGATCTGACCAAGTATTCATAAAAGACTCGCAGAACTGTAATTCAGTATTGTTATGGTTTAAGGTTTCAGTTTGAAAAGGCGGCGGTTGCTCCGATGTACCAAATTCACCCTCAGCAACCTGGTCTTTTTTTTTTAATGGCTCTTCTTGTTTTTGCGGGTATACATTAGTTCTAGAATGATCCAGAAGTTGCGTCGTGTTTTCAGCTTCAACGACTGGAGGTTCTCCGAACAAATTCCTTATCATTTCACTTTCATAACTCTGAGATTCTCCAATGGTAGATGTGGAGCTAGTCCTCAACACAGGTTCCAAATTCCTTATTATGTTGCCTTCATGACTCTGAGTTTCTCCATTGGTAAAATTAGGCATATTTTTGTCAGATGTGGAACTAGTGCTCAACTCAGGTTGCCTAAGCAGAAGCTCTGAAGACTCGCCATCCATATTTTTGCCAGATTTTGAGCTTGTCATCAACTCAGGTTGCCCAAGCAGTAGCTCTGAAGACTGGTCAGCCATATCACGCTCTTTATTGTTTAGGGATTCATTTGGGTTGTCACGAGTTTTTCCATTAATGCTGGTTGTTACTCTCCCATCCAACTCATTATTTGGCAGGTCACCAACACCAGGAGACGGTACTTTTAAAATCTCTGCAGCAGAATCAACAGGCAAAGCACCAGTAAGAGTCTTGAATGCAAACTCTAGGCATGGGTCTGACCAAGATTCGCCAAATGGCAAGGCATGCTCTGGCTTTGATCTATCATCACTAATATTTTCAGCTTCAGCTTTCTCCAATTGTTGTTCCTTGTGAACAGTTTGGTCATCAGATGATTTACCACTCTTGCTTGATGATTTTCCTAGCATTTCTGTTTTCAAACTGTCAGACGCATGAGGAGTAAGCATGGCTTCTTCCCCAACATGGACATGGTCAGATGCTCCATTAGTTAAAAGTACAGTTGCAGTGGCTTCTTCTTTGCTTGATTTTTTACTTGAATATTCAAGAGCTTTATCAGAAGGATTGGCCTCTGGTTCAATGCCAGCAAGTCGCTTTGACAACCGCATTGGGACTTTGACCTCTTTGACCTCTTTCTTTCTCTTGGATTTATTTGACTGCACTGAAGCACTTTTGTCACTGTCTCTTGTGACCTTGTCAAGCACATTGCTTTGACTGTCCTTGCTTCCTCTGGTAATGTTGTCAACCAATGTTTTTTTAGTATCAGTTTCTTGTACAGTAGTGGGTCCATTATCAACTGAGTTGTTTTGATTTTGAATATCAGTTTCATGTACAGTAGTGGGTCCATTATCAACTGAATTATTTTGACTGTCCCTGCTTCTTTCCGTGACAGTGTCAAAAGTAGGTTTTTGAATATCAGTTTCAGGGACTGTAGACGGCCTATTATCAACAGAATTATCAACTGGCGGTAACACACCCGTGAGGGTATTGATTGCATAATCTAAACATGGGTCAGACCAAGAGTAATGGAATGCAAAGGACAGCTGAGGTTCTGATTTCTCGTCATCCACTTCAAGTGTTTCCAGTTCGTCGTCTACAGCAGGTATGACTAAAGGAGTTTTTCTTCTTTTATTTTGTGACTCTCCAGTTAATGGTGCATGATCTGGCCCGCCCTCACTTTTGCTTTCAGATCCAGCCAATCGTTTTGAAGCCCGACAAGGAATGTGGGGCTCGCTCTTCTTACTAAATTTGTTTGAGTTGGTACGAGTGGTTCTCGTGTTCATTGCCTTTGGTTGCTCAATTTCTGGGACACCATTGAGATGCTGAGATGATTTATTTTCCATGTCAGCGGCTAGAGTGGTTCTGTTTTTTCTCAAGTTTCTTTTGGGAACTATAGGAGTCTGATCATTGAGAACATTGTCAGCCAACTTAACAGGTCCTTGCCCTTTCATTGAGTTGTTAACATCTGGCAATTCTAAGCTTTCAGCTGGTTCTTTGGCTGCAGTAAAAAGTTGAAATACATAGAAGCGAGTATTAAGTACAAATGGCATATTCTTCACCCCTAAGTTGGTTGAGCTTGAAGAAATTAACCAGTCACTACTATATATTTCATTTATGGTTTTTCTTACCAACAGAAATCTTCTGCCTGGGTGTAGACTGCTTGGGTTTCTGTCTTTTGGCAGCAGGTGATGGCTAATTTGAACAGAAACATAACACAAAAATAAAATTATTCACAGTTGTAATTCTAAAATGCAAGCATAGAACATTATTGATCAGAAAATCCACAGTATATAGGATGCTTGTGCTCAAGTTAACTAATGCCAATGAAAATCTGTAAAGGATATTATTCAGTTGGCATATCTTAATAAAGAAAATCACCAGCAGTAATAAAAAAAAATTCATATCATCTTTGAATTTTAGTTCAAGTCCAATGTAACTGATGAATCCCTAGATTTTTTTAGACAAAATTGCATCAGAGGTCCTTTATCTTAATTTTTTACATCAAAGTAGTTCTTTTTCTTTTTTCATGTCAAGTTGGTCTTTCTTTCATGGAAGTTATTGGTCTTATCTGTTTAAAAACCTTAACAAAATTGGATCGAATCTCATGATCCTTCCATGTTTGTTACCAAAAGTCTTACTTGATCATTCATATAAGTAAATTACATTTCAATCCATCAAATTATAGCTACAACCCCGAAATCATCAAAGTAACATCAAAATAACATGATCTTTATCAGTTTTAGCTAAGATTGTGGTCTCTTTGTCATGTAGACACAAATATGCAACGAAAGTGGATGGGAAATGAAGGTCGATCCAACACTGTAAACGTTTTCAGCATAAATAACTAACATGGCTTGTGAAATATAAAAATAATGGACTAAATTGATACAAAAAACTACTGTGTTTCTTAATACTTGTCATTTTGGGACATCATTGGATTACCAAGGATTAGCTTATTTGATAAAAGTGTTCCTATTATACCCTCATCTCTCACTTCTCCTCCACTTCATCAATTTAACATATCTCCTCATTAAAGTCTCAAAAGAAAGTGAGCTTTTCAATAAAAATAATCTGCTCCCATAACTTTTTCAACTGCTAATTTCTCCTCTATTCTCTCTCTTGAAACGTTTGAATTTCACCCTCACATCGCAGAAGTTTTCCAACACCAGATTGTGAACTGTAAATACTGGTATATATTCCTAACTTGAACTGTTCTTTTCCCGAATCATTATGCATAACTGATAGTATATGTGATTATAAATTCTATTGGGTTAAAGTAGCACTCCCATTTTTTTTTATGTTTAGCCATAGACTCCTCACCCTTTATAACTTGCTCATGTACTAGAAAGATAACTTAGTGCCCTTTAAATTAATATTTACGGCCACCATGTGCCATTAATTTCATTTTGGGAATGTATACATATTTTGGGAGTCGATGTATGACTATAAATTCATCTTCAAACTTTTCAACCATTCAATTATCATTTTATGGAAAATGCGAAAGATGATTAATGAGGGATAAGGGTAGAATTGACAAAATGTAGCCTTAAACTATCAAAATGACAAGTTAAAAGGAATGCAAATTTTTTTTAAAAATCACATGTTAAAGCAAATGGAGGGAGTACGATAAAAGACCCTAATGCAAATTTGTCAATCCTTCAACAGTTGGAGTCATAAATTCATAACTAATATGACTCAATAAAAGCAGCAATAAAGAGATATTACTGATATACAAAGAAGTCTTACAGTTGAGTTGTCTTCATCTTGATTTTGTCTTCTAATTGGTTTAATAGCACATTTCTCTATATCTCCAGATTCAAGATAACGCAGTACATCCTTCTTGGAATGGAATACATATCCACTCACTGGATCAATATACAACTGTTGGAAGTGCAATCCGATCATAATTTGTTTAAGCATCAAAACTTTATAAAAAACTGTAACTATAAGAGATGATACTATAAACCAGTCATTTGCAACTCACACTATATTAGGTAAATATCCATCTTATTTAATTTCACAATATAGACCTCCTTTTTGGAAGAAAGAGGACAGTAAATCATGAACTTCAGCTGAACATAAAAAGAAATTTCATACCCAATCTTTCCTTCTGTTCTTCCTAATCTTTGCTTCTTTAATCCATCCAGGGGGTAGATCCTCGTCGGTGGACTTCTCGCCCGCAACCTAGAGTATAACAAAACTACAAATATTACATACTTGAAAACAAATTTATGAAGACAACCAGCAACTTCTAATAACAGTTAATGGATTAAATATAAGTTCATCCAACAATCAATATATGAAATCTATCAAATGTTATTTACAAACTTTCTGCTCATTTTTTCCATAAAAATACAGATGCATTAGAATTGCACTAATAGTGCACAACCAAAGTAAACAAAAATCACAAAACATGCTAAAATTTCAGTTACACAAGCACATAAATGTGAGGCCATAAGCTGAGGAGGCCATTTTTCTTAAGAACAGCATTTTCATGGGAGGTCGCATTAATGTTTCCATCTATAACACTTTTGTAATTATTTTTGTACTTGCAAGTTATTTTTGTGACATGATCGTTTCTTCAGAACAAATCCAGTATACAAAATACCCACCATAAAATTCTAAGGTGATTATGGATTCCGTGCCAAACACAATTATAAACTTCTAACTATGAGATGTCATAGAATATGATAATGAATAATGATAAGAAAGGATCTTCCTATTTGATGGTGAAGTTCATTAATAACTAACAGAAAAATGATAGATGTACAAACATGGTTTGGAGAGTGCATGCTAGTGAATTTCTCTCCGTCCTTGCTTCCAGAATCCAAAGTGATGTATTCTTCTTCCTCCTTGCTTGAAGAATGCATGTTAATACATTTCTCTTCCTCTTTACTTGGAGAGTGTTGGTTATTGTTAGTGCGTTTCTGCTTCTCTTTGTTTAGAGAATGCTTATCAATGCATTTCTCCTCCTCCTTGTTTGGAGAATGTTTGTCGGTGCATTTCTCCTCCTCCTTGCTTGGAGAATGCTTGCTAGTGCCTTTCTTCTTCTTGGAAGAGCAGTTGCTGACCTTTGTAGTTTCAAGATGTCGCAGTACCTCGGGTTTGGAGTAGAATTTATATATATTCAATGGATCAATGTAGCACTGAAACAAGACAACAGTTTTGTTGTGAGTGGTAAGTTACATTATAATGTTCACGTTCAAAATGCATAACATTCTCATCCAAAACATTTGAAGAGTAAATCTTACTTTGCCCTTTTCAACAATAACTAATTATTGAAGAGGATAAGTACTAAACAGGACAACACTATAATGTAGTAATTAATATGCATGAAGAGTTGGTATTAAATCAAGAGAAAAAAAAATCACCAAGTAGTAAAATATCACATTCTCGTATTCACATCTATTGAGGAGCGTAGCTTCTACCATTGAATACAAACATTGCAAACTAATGTGAGCACAGTCTCAGATATGACCCAAAATCCAGCTCACGAATTTAGGACAACTGCTCCCAATTAATAATAGTGCGTTACCATAAGGTAAAGTCACAAATATTATGATGAATAAAATTTTAGATTTCCAGAATAGAAGTTTTCTACAGATAGTTGCACACAAAATTTAGTCCCGATTCAAGGCCAAAAACTTTAGAACTGTAGACTTAGAAGGTCAGACATACATTAGTGAAATGGTTGCTTTCTGACTGACAACACGCTTGTATTTAAGGAAGGAATGATAAGAACAATTAACTACAGAAAACTGGAAAAAAGTTGGTCTAATTAAAGTTTCAAATGGTCAACAGCAACAATTATATAAACCACCTTATATGAAGATCCCATAGCCGGACCACTTTTTCGGGTTTGAACTTGAATATCCCAGCCATCAGGCAACCATTCAGGACGTTCATTAGCTTTCTCTGCAGTCTGAAATTATTGTACATCAACAAAGCAACGAGTGTGAAAGACATTAGCTAATTCAGAGAAGAAAACAAAAAGTATTCAAAATTTATCAAATGTTATTTACAAATTTTCTGCTCATTTTTTCCCATAAAAATACAGATATATTAGAATTTCACTAATTGCGGACAACCCGAGTAAAGAAAAATCACAAAACACACTAAATTTCAGTGACACGGATAAATGTGAAGCCTTAAGCTAAGATGGCCATTTTTTTTAAGAATGGCATTTTTTTAAGAGGTCACATTTTCTACATTTTAATCTATAACACTTTCATAATCATGTTAGTACTTACAAGTTATTTTCATGACGTGGTTCTTTCTTCAGAACAAATCCAGTAAACAAAACACTCACCATTAAATTCTAGGGTGATTATGGCTTCGTGCCAGACACAATTATAAACTTCTAATTATGAGATGTCATAGGGTGATAATGAACAGTGATAAGAAAGGATCTGCCAATTTGATGGTGAAGTTCATTAATAACTAACAGAAAAAGAACAGATATACAAACATTTTTTGGAGAGTGCATGCTAGTGAGTTTCTCTTTCCCCTTGCTTGTAGAATGCATGTTAATGCATTTCTCTTCCTCTTTACTTGAAGAATGTTGGTTACTGTTAGTGCGCTTCTGCTTCTCTTTATTAGGAGAATGCTTTTCGATACTTTTCTCCTCCTCCTCCTTGCTTGGAGGTTGCTTGCTAGTGCTTTTCTTCTTCTTGGAAGAGCAGTTGCTGTCCTTTGTAGTTTCAAGATGTCGCAGTACCTCAGGTTTGGAGTAGAATTTATGTATATTCAATGGATCAACATAGCACTGAAACAAGACAACAGTTTTATTGTGAATGGTAAGCTACGTTATAATGTTCACATATACATAACATTTACATCCAAAACATTTAAAAGAAGTAATTTTTACTTTGCCCTTTTCAACAATAACCAATGTGTAACTAATTATTGAAGAGGATAGGTACTAAATAGAACAACATTGTCATGGAAACTGGAAAGAAGTTGGTCTTACTAAATTTGCTAATGGTCAACAACAACAATTATATCAAACAAAATAATCTATTAACCACCTTATATGCAGATCCCACAGCCGGACCACTTTTTCTGGTTCGGACTTCAATATTCCAGCCATCCGGCAACCAATCGGGACGTTCATCAGCTTTCTCTGCAGTCTGAAATTATTGTACAACAAAGTAACAAGTATGAAATCCATTAGCAATGTAAGAGAAGAAAACAAGAAGTCTTCAAAATTTATACTCACCTCTTGTTTAGAATTCTGTTTCGTGCCACTGGTTCCTGCAGATTTTCCAACGCCCAATTTCCCCATTCTCATAAAGGCAGGTTATGCTGTCAAACACAAAACAAAGGTTTAAACAATCAAACCTCAAAGCATCTCCTTTGTTTCTCTATTCCAATAATCCATTCCCTCTTCTACAAAACATGCATTCTAACTTATATAAGCAAAAGTCGATAAGCAAAAATCACATGCAACAAACAAACCATGAAGAAAGACATCTCTACATCAAACAAGATTCCACTTCCATGACCAATTAACATTCTCTCTACCAAACACAGTTTACAGATCAAACAAACACCTCAAAAAAACAACTCACTCTCCAATAAAATTAGGGTCAACTTAGTCAAAATCGGAAAGAACTTCAACAATCTATGAACTAGATTTCCTCACCATGATTAAACATGAATCAATCCAATCCCTCTTCATAAAACAAGAAAAAAAATCAAAAACAATAACACATTCTCCAAGCAACGAAAGATCACAAACAAAACAAACCATTAAATAAAATAAAATATCAACAATAGAACTGAATCTAGAGAAACAGTAAACAAATGCATGGATTCGAACTTAAATCTCATTCAACCTCATCAATCTACTTCATCATCTACTTTCCCAAACAAATCATAACCATAATGAAAAACTAGCATCAACAATAATTGAAGGTTAAACAGTGTTAATCAACAAAAAATACATCACAAAAACATAAAATATTAAGAGTAAAACAGAAAATAATCTAGAAAGCAGGTCATCGATGAGCGAGTAGTTACCCTAATTTAGCAGTATTTTCATGGAGGAAGAAATGAACTTCAGGATCGGTTTTAAGAGAGAGAAGAAGAAAAGGTGTGAGCTAAAGAGAGAGCAGAAAGATTTAGTCTTCGATTTGATTATTACTATACTATATGAGTATTTATTTATTTGTATTTATTATTTACTAAATGTTTTTTCTGTGATTCCACGAATGAGGGTTTTAACTTTTAACCCACGTGTTTAGATTGAAATGAAACACTGCATGGCAATGATTACTTTTTTGCCCTTAGCGAAAATTAATTTAATAAATAATGCTATTAATAAATATGTAAATTGAGTTAAAGATTTTGCAGTGGGTTAGGTCAGTTAATTGTTGTAACACGCATCTCGCTCTTCATGTAGCAACCGTTGGTTTCAATGTACATGATTGCCTTTTCAAGAATGAGAATATTTGTGCTGATGGTGAGTAAATTAATATTTTGTTAAAGTAACTTTTTATTCGAATTGTTTTTTTTTAGGAAAAGTGGTATTGTTTTTGGTACAGTTGTTGTGGAGTACTGTTGATAAACCTCTCAGTGTTTTCTCGAAGAAATAAAAGAGCTTTGAAGGTTCATTTTAAGTGGGGTGGAATAGGGTCTTTATGGTAAATATATAATTTGAGTTAAGCAACTTGTCTAAAAGTGAACAGTATGGATTTTTGTTGTTGCATTATGGATGTACGAAGACATTTATGTTTGATACTTGCAAATTTTTCAACAGGTTTGTACAAGCATACAGAATAGTCTTTGTGATTTTTTGAAAACTTGTTTTTTCAATTAAATATAATACTGCTGGGATTTTGTAGTGTAAATGAAAAGTTTTTTTGTTAAGTAAATTCTTTAAAAGAATTAACTATTACTTTTTAAGAGGAATTTTTACATATTATAAATAGTTAAGAAAAAGCTGTGATGGCATCTTTCTTTGTAAAAAAGTATTAAAATAAGGCATTTTTTAAATAATTTAACATACCGGTAAGTATTTACTAATAAATTCTATGTTTATTTACAAAAGTAAATTACACATTTTTGACATTTAATTCAAAATTTACTTCTTTTTTTCACATAATAGATGTATATGAGTGTCCAATTCAATTGTGATTGATTTAATCTCATGTCAATTATAAATGTTAGATGTATAAATAAATTATTTATATATTTAATATTTTATTTATATTTGAATATTATAAAACGAATATAGTTAAATAGAGTGAAGCAAATGGAATGTTGTAGAGTAAAGATTTTGTTTCATCATTTGAAAAAATTTAGGATGGAATAAAATAAATATTTCATTCAGCTCAAATTGGAAGAAAAAATATGGTGATAAGTGATAGAATGGAATGGAATTCATACCAGTCATTTCATTTTGTTCCATCTGATTTTAAATTATTCAAATAATAAAACTTCACTTTATTTCATCTCATGCCGCTCAACTTCATTTGATTTCATCCATTCAAACAAAGTCTTTTAATGTTTTTTTCCATATGCGGTGTCAACGTTTATTGGTGTCCAAACACTCCCTGACTCCTCAATAATTGGTCTTAGAAGGGCGATAAAGATGAAGATGAAGCAAAACAATAAAGACTCTTCAATGTGGTAAGCAACTTGAATCTCAAAATATCCTATGTCAGGAATTTTTCTTCTTAAAATGTGTGTTTGCTTATTCTTACCAATTATTAATTATTTATTTTTATATTTACAAAAGAGGAACCCTAAAAAAATTTTGATTATTGTACTCTATATAATTTACAACTCTATGCTTACGTACCCTCATGTTAAATGAAAGATCAAAGCACCATAGTTCTTCTAAAAAATGTTAGTTGGTTGGTTGTTTTTATCCCTTGAAAGATTCTCAGTTCTCACGCATCAGGGCGCAGAAATGTTAAATATTGAAAAATGTTTTAATGCACAAAAACAGAGGACTTACGATTTAAAGTGTATTAGATTAATTTTATCCCTTTTGATTGACTGCAAAAAAATACCATTTATTTAATTATTGAAAATAATCCATAGTAATATTATATATAATTATTTTAATATTAAAATATTAATAAACTCAAAACTCATATATATTATCCCAAATTTTTATCTCTGATTTTGTATCCCTGAAACCCAAAAAAAATTCCTAAAATTCGATTACATATTATCCCTAAACTATCTCATAGTTATTCCATAGATTAACCATAATTTCTTATTAATATCTCATAACTAATCTTATTTTTTATTCCTTATATTATTTATATTAACACATTTAAAAATAAATAAACTCCTAATTATATTTTGGTATTCTAATTCTAAGTTAATTATGCTTTTTTAACAATTATTTAATTTTTTTGTATTAATTTCATTATTATATTAAATCTTAAATTAATTTAATTAGTTTTAAATTATAAGTTGAATTGATAATTATATTAATTAAGTCCAATTATCTTAACTTAATTCTAAATTCTTGATTAATATTTCATAAGTGTTTATATTGTGTATTCTTTTTTTATTATTTTTAATAATAACTAAATTAACTAAACTCAATTATAGTAGAGTTTTTTTATATTTTTTATTATAAAGTATTTTAATAAAGTAAATAGCCTTAATTGAAATAAAAGAAATTATCTTTGTATTTTTTAACCTTTTACCTTATAGTGATAATATGATATTTTAATAATAAATTATAATGTCTCTATATTTTTTTATAGTTGCATTTTTTAATATTTTGATGTTTTAGATTTAAATGAAAACCATAAATATTTGTATACCTATATTAATAACTACCATAATAAAAACCATCAACTAAAATAAATAACTTAACGATTTAAATAAAAATAAATTAACTAAATTAAAAAATTTTGAATTTAACTAAAGTGATCAAAATAAAGCTTAATCAAGCTAAATAAATAGACTAAATTTAAAAATAAATAAATAAAGTGCAATATAGACAAGGATAATGTGAAATTAGTAGTAAAATAATCGGCCGAACACCCATAATTCAAAGATTCTTACTACTAACTATTTAATTGGTTAAAAAAATAGTCATACATAATGGAGGCGGTGCCCCACTTTTTCTCCCTTCAAAACTAAACCAATCATTCCTATGCTAACACATTGCAGGCTATGAGATAAAATAAAATAAAAAAGAAAAAGAAAAAGAAGGATATATTATCATAGTAAAAACAACACAAAAGGAGAATATATATTTCCTCTCCCTCTCTCCCAGTAATTTGTCATTTATCATCTAGTTTTATCTCAAAGAAAACCATTTACACAAAATTATACATACATCCATCAAATATTCAAAACCAAACAAAAATATCAAACAAAAACAACCAGTAGTGAAAAGAAACTAGGGAGAAAAGGAAATCTAAGTTTAATCGGTGGAGCTCACGGCGATTCCTACGTGATCTGATGCTGCAAAAGGTAGTTTTAATGCGGAATGATTTGCAGGCAACGATTGATGACGACGTGATTTTCTTTGCATGAAGAGTGGTGGCATTGCCATAATGATGTCGAGTCGGGACAAGAAGAAATGTGCGACTGAAGGGTTGCGTCGGCGGTTCGAGCGACGTCTATGGTGATGTATGGCGGTGTTGGTTGGAGTAGGGTGTGTTCTAGAGACGGTGTTTTGAACGACCATCGTGATTCGCGTGTGAAACATAGTTGTGTTATGGTGGTCACGTTTGCACAGTGGTTGATGACGTGAAATTGGTGATAGTCGAATTTGTTTCCCTCTCTCCCTTCTTGCTTTACTTCTTTTTCGTTTGTGATTATAGCAATCATTTTAGTGATCTCGCTGCATTTTTTAAGTTTTTTATTTGTGCTGAAGGTGGATTATGTAATTTTTTATTGCTGAGCTTTTCCTTCATTTTTACGTGAATTTCCGCTATTTTCTTTTTTATGGACTTATTGTTAAAGTATTCTTGATGTGTTATTGTATGCTTTGGATTGGTGATGACTGAAGATGTTTATGGTTAAAGATATTTGAATATGGATGTTTGGAATGGATTTGTTATTGTGTGAGATATGTATTATGGTAGTTGTGATTATGGGGGGTTGATGATGATTTTGTGAGTAAGAGTTTTCTATCATACGATTTTTAGTTTCTTGAGAACTAGAAATCATATGTGAAAAGAAGTTGGGAATTTGTTAGTGTTTTTTTACAAAGTGTATGAGGAATAGTTACATGATCAAACCCTGGTGTATGAGCAAGTTGATAAAACTTATATAATGAAACAACTTGATAAAACCCTGGTAAAA